GTTCGTTAGATTTCATATTTAATGTGGAAAACGCTCCCGTTACTGCATCGATTTCTTTACAGTTTAGGTGGCGAGCATTTCTCGCCGGCCTCCCGAGGCTTCGGCTTAGCCGGGATTCACTTTGGGGGGTAGAAAGGAAGAGGGGAGGGGAGAAAAAGGGATGCAGCTATGAAAAATAACAGTCAGGTCGCAGGCGAATGTCCCCTCGGAGGGTGCACCTCGGCAAAGCGGACCCCTCCTGCAGCAGATCCAAAGGGGCCCGTGGGGTCCCTCGCTCCGCCCTCGCCCGTTCCCGAAACGTTTCTTTGCCGCGTCTGCTCCCGCGGGCGCTTCCCTCCCGCCCCGGCCGGCAGCCTGTGCGGGGCCGGCAACCGGCCCCCAGGCAGATGCGTTTCTAACAACAAATGGATCGACGCAGATTATTTTCTCCTGAGCGAGACGAGTCGGTTTTTGCCCTCTTTATCCCCTCCTGTGTGTTCCCCCACACACACACCCGCCCCATAGGAAAATAACCTGAAATCAATTCACCCGTAAATCCCAGCAGGCTGCAGAAGGGCTGTACGTTTTCTTTGAATTGTATTTATTTTTTCGGTATCCCTTGACTGCCCTTCCAAATGTCAGTGAAGGCGGGGGGAGAGGGGGAAGAATAACTGACGGGGAAACGGCCAAATAGATAAATATTCAGTGATCGAGGGGGAGCGAGAGGGGGACAGACAAAGGGAAAGCGAACAGAGAGGGGAAGGAAGATGGGTTGAATAAGATGGAGGCTGGAAGAGGTCAGCTTTGCAATTAGCAGTTCTGCTTACATTTCAAGAGACAGCTCAGGAAGTGTCAAGACCTCAATCCCGCTTCCATGTAACTACCCATTTTCCCTCTATTTGTCGGAGCTTCTGTAATCCGGGAGGTAGGAATCCCCCAGGGACGGCTGGAAGGGGCAAATACTCAAGATAAAGTGCTGGGCAGGACCGTGAGGCCTAAAATGAGCAGGCTCCCTCCCCCTCCCCGCCTCCCCGCCTCCGCCTGCGGGAAATCAGGAAGGGAAGGGATGAAGGCGGCGAGGGCTCCGCTCTGGGCATTTATCTACCTGATAATTCTCTAAACGCCCGGGAGTGAGTTATAATTTGGACGCGAAATTTAATTTGCGTCGGCTG